TATCAAGAATAATTCTTCTAAATCTCAAGATCCTTCTAAATTTGAATTCAAGAATAACCTACTCTATTTCGAAGGACGCCTATATGTTCCAAAAGGAGAAGCACGTTTACATACTCTTCAAGCTCGTCATAACTTCTCAGCAGTAGGACATTTTGGATATAATAAGACTTTGGAGCTGATATCTAGGGATTTTTGGTGGTCTCAAATGTAGAAGACAGTCAAAGATTTTGTACAATCATGTGATGTTTGCTCAAGATCAAAAACTCCTCGTCATCGACCTTTTGGACTTCTTCAGCCATTATCCATTCCAGAACAACCATGGTCTTCTGTTTCTATGGACTTCATCACGGATCTTCCAATCTCAGGTTCTTATGATTCTATATTCGTGATAGTAGATCGTTTTACCAAGATGGCACATTTTTTACCATGTACAAAATCTATCACAGGTGAAGAAACAGCTAAGCTCTTTCTTGACAATATCTATTCCTATCATGGATTATCCAAGGATATTATATCAGATAGGGAAACTTAATTTGTATCAAGATTTTGGCGAACTCTTTTCAGGATTCTAAAAGTGGATATAAAACTATATTCGGCATTCCATCCTCAAACTGATGGACAAACGGAGCGTGTTAATCAAGTTTTGGAGCAATATTTAAGATGTACCATTAACTACCAACAAGATGATTGGACAACTCTTTTGCCATTGGTAGAGTTTGCTTACAATAACACGGTATATTCTTCTACAAAACAAACACCTTTCTTTGTTAATTATGATTATCATCCATGACTTGATACTTTTGACTTTTCAAAAGTTGATAATCCTGCTGCAAAAGATATGGCGATTCATTTATCAGAGCTACATGTAACGATGAAGGCGTAGTTAAAAGAGGCTCAAGAACAACAAAAGGTCAATGCGGATGTCTATCGAAAGGAACAACCACCATTCCTCTTGGGTGATAAGGTATGGCTACTTCGTCGCAATATCAAGACCACTCGTCCTTATAGCAAGTTGGACTATTGAAGGCTTGGACCATTTTCTATTTCTGCACAAATCAATCCAGTTGCATATCGTTTATATCTACCGGAGTCAATGAAAATCTATCTAGTATTCTACGTATCTCTTCTTGAACCATACAAGACAGTGGACATATCAAGAAGAAGACAAGCTCCACCTCCTCCTATAGAAGTGGAAAATAATGAAAAGTTTGAAGTAGAAGAAGTCTTAGATTCAAGGTGACGTCGAAATAAATTGAAATATCTTGTCCATTGGTGCGGATATGATATTAGTGAACATATATGGGAGCCAATAAAGAATCTTGCAAATGCAGCAAAGGCAGTGGAGGCTTTTCATCGACGACATCCATCAAAATTAAGATGAAAACCTTCTTTATAAAAGAGATAACATCTAGGCAAGATAACATTCTACTTTCAATCCTTGTTTGTAGCTTCTTTGTAGTTGTGACACTCAGGAGATGGAGAACCAACAACCAACAGATTCGACTCAATAGCCTTCATTTGCTGATCTGCCAGATGAGACATTACGATTGTCACAACCTTTAAAATGATGCAATCGAGATGAAGATCTTCAAGAATGACATGTTCTTCCTTGAATAGATGGCGAGATACAATGCATTTGGTATCACGATTTGAGAAGGGACTTCTGATGTTTGGTGATTTTGCTAGAGGTAGGAACAACTTCTGATGGTGTTCCAAATATTCTATTCGAAGGAAGTTATGAAGGCCTCAACAATGATAAAATAACTGGATGGTCTTCCTGCCCTGATATGGGATACTACTGATGGTTGAGAGGCCCTATCAATCATCTTCGAAGAGAACAAAGATCAGACTATGTAGCGAATACAATTCGTCGCATCATAGATTTCTTCAACATATGATGACCGCTCCTCGTAGAACTCGTCCCTAGAAGAAGGGGTAATGTCACGGACATACTCATGTAAGCTAGTAATTACATATACAAATAGGTGGAAGTAAGTAAAAGTAGATAAAAGTAAATTAATTCTATAGTATTTAATATGGAAGCTTCTTAGAAGCTTTATAGACGCTGCTTTTGACTTCATAGGTGTTTTTAATTGACTTTTTGGATTAGAAACATGATCAACAAGTTGGCCATGTGCCACACATGTTGTTAGCTTAAAAATCAAGCTAACTATATGGTCCACACATAGAAAAACTTGCCTTGTAAGTCAAGGCATGTGTCCTACAAAGTCAACACATATTAGAGGTCCTATAGAACGTCGCCACGTAGCCTCTAGTTAGATAGTATATATAGACACAAGAGTGAAGCCTTCTTCATTCTTGTCAACTCCTTTCTTGCTTCCAGTCTAGTTTCAAGGGTCTCTAGTTTTCTTATCTTTTGGCAATAGCCATTCTAGTTTTTCTTTCAATATACATACTTATTTATTTATATTTTATTACCTTTCTTTGAATAAAGGCTCACTTGTCTGAATTGCTTTTTCATCGAGTTCTTGTCCTTGACATTTTTAGTCCTTAGTCTTGTTTTAAGACTTTTTAATTTTTTTGTCTTTGGCAATAGCTATTCTAATTCAATATATTACCATCTTTGAATGATTTTTTAGTCTTTTCAAGTCACACAAGAGTGTATTAAGATTTTCTTTCTTTGAGATTCATATCCTTGACACTTTGGCTTTTTAATTCCTATAGCTTCATTATGTCTCCAAACATAATGCAAAGATGATTTTACTTCTTGCAAAAAAAAAAAAAAATGATGGATTCCAACTCAGAACAAAGAGCAATGGTGGATGCAAAGAGAGGCAAGCACTTTCTAGTCTTATTGTTGGAAGTGGAAAGAAGATGAAGACATTTAGGACCTATGTTAAGACAAGAAAGAAGGAGAAAGGTCTAAATCTTGCTCCAAAACAAAGAAGAGGTGGAAGGGAATTTGGATCTATCTAAGAATAAAGAAGAATAGTGATTTGAAACTTGTGTCAAGACAAGGATGAAGGAAGAAGAAATTGGTGACTAACATTGGATCAATTTAATAAAAACCACAATCTATGTATTAATTTTCTTTATATATTTTATATTTTTTTATAATCTTATTTTTTAAATATAATTTAAAATGAGAAAATAAAATAAAAAAATATTAATATATAAATTAAAAAAAAATATCATAAATTCACACTATATATGTCAATAAATTTATAAATTTTTATATATATATATATATACACATAAAATATAATTTTTTATTTAAATATTTGATTTAAATTAATAATAAAATAATAAAATAATAAATATTTAAATTAAATTTTACTACAAAATTAGAAAAATTTCCAAACATTTATTTTTACTTATATTAAAGATACTTAAGATATATTATTAATTTCTAAATATTTAATATAATATTAGAATAGATAGTTATTATATTAATATTTATCCTTTATCCATCTTTAATTCTAGTCTATTGACTATAATTAAAAATAATATATATTTAATAAAATTTATTTAAAGTTAGATTTCTCATATATAAAATTTATAAGGAGTGTTTTTTATTTTTATTTTTTTGGTATGTTTCTTTGTATGAATGAAGTTCTAATTAACCACTACAATTAAAATAAAAATAATTCTTTTGATAAAAAAATAATGATAAAACTTATTGTATAGTAAACATACAAGCTTTAATTCATCAAAGTTGTTGAAGCCAGTTTAGCAATTTAGACACTATAATTGTACATGTATTACTTATAAGTGTATCAACATACTTTGAGAACACGTCATTAATTTTTAATTCTTATTTTTACTTCTTTCTAATTTATTTGAGTAAAAAGCAATCACTTAACTAAACTTACAATCAAAATTTAGAGTTAAAAATAGTATATAAATTATAAATCTTAAATTTTTTGTGAATTTTTCTCTAAGATACATAAATTTAATAAATTTATCTTTATGTAAAATAATGAACTATGTTAATTTAAAACTCAAATAACAAATACATATAAAGATCCAACTTTCTATTGATAATCTTTTAAAGAATGTTATGTTTCATATGTGTATAGAGGTTGTAGAGGAATATGTACTTCACTTGTACTTGGTATTGAACGAAAAAAAAAATCCAACCAACTGCTACTTTAATAAAAGAAATTGTTAAACTAATGCTCATAAATGATTTTGATTTGGTTTGACTTGTTTTTTTAAACTCTAATTCCCTATTGTTGATATCTTGAAATCACCCAACACTCAGTTGCATGTCATTGAGTTGTCACAAAATTTGAATGGCTACCCAACATCCATCTCTATCAACAAACAAAGATGACAAGTGATGACAAGTGATGACAAGTGAACGAAGTTAAAAAAGAAATGAGAGTGTGAACTGGTAGAAATTGTGTTGTTCACAAACACATCAGCAACAAAAACATTGGCTAAACCCACACAATTATTCTACATTTCCATTTCGAGACAAAGTGAGTGTTGGCATGGTTCCCCAAAAATAGTCCCTCATTCATCGGCACCGCGGTGGACATTCAAGATGAAAAGATCCTCCAGATCCCACGTCCGACGTGGTCCTCGAAAATCCGTCGTGGCAGTTCCGCAATTCGACGTAGAAAAATCCGTGACTTCAGAAGCCAGGTGGAGAGCAGCGCCGCGGAAGTAGGTGCCAGTAGAACGAAGATACGAATGGGGTTGAGAGCCAACTATGCCGACACCGCCAACCATCACAGAAGACTCCAGTTAAGGGGTAAGCCCATTGGGCCACGTGGACGGACCTGGTGACGACGCACCTCACCGCCTCCCTCCACGAGGTCGGTAGGTAGGTAGTCACCAAGCATAGATCTTGGCGATCATCCTGCACCAGATGGACTTACTTTTTACTGCGCAGGGTGCCCTGCGAGTGTGCGACACCTGACAATTTGATTCTCGTAGTCCAGGTGGGGTCCGTCTTACGGAGTCAGTCCACAAGCAGCTTCTCGTCTCTGATTCCGTACTAGGGATGGTCCAGGACTGCCTCTGCCTTTCTCTCATTTTGCTTTTCCACGCCGTCCTTCCAAATAGTCTCCGAAGTTGCGTTCGTAGTTCCGTTGAAAGTTGAGCAGCGTGAACCAGATGCAGTTAGTACGCGTCCTGAGCCATGGGTTTCCACCTGCCTGCAGCGCCACAGGCCTTGGAAGAGTCTATTATTGCGGACCAGTGCTGATTTATTAGGTATTTTGCAGTGAGTTAGAGGTGATTGTGGTGTAGGTTGATCGGGTTGAGGTTCTGAAGCTAGGGGAGGTGATCGTGGTGTAGGTTGGTCAGGTTGAGGAAGCTAGAGGGGAGGTGTTTGTTGGAGGTTTTGCTTGGAGAGCAAGGGACGTGATAGCCTGCAGGTTAAGGTTTCGGGGCTCTTGCTGGAGCAGGTGGGATATGGCCTTTTGGATTGATTGTGGTGAGATAAGGTGATTGTTGGCGTTTTCGATGTTGGAGGAGTGAGTGCATGTTTGAGGGAGAGTTCGAGGTGGTGCATGGGGGTGGTATCTGAAAGAGGAGGGTCCGGAGTGGGTGGATCTGTTCGCATGCTAGTTCAGTGCCGTACCTGACATTTGCAACTGATTGTGTAGCTGGTACGTGTGAGTTTAGTGATGTGCGCGCTGCGTGGGTTTGCGAAGTGACGATGAAGTTGCCTGAGGTTTCTGTCGAAAAGCGGATGTTGCACACGCTTAAAAGTCGGTGATATGTTTGTGACGGAAAGCCTGCAGCGTTGCGTGCCTCATTGACAGTGTTAGTGGTTGTGTGAAGGGTGAGTTTGGGGTTTTGAGCACTCAAGCTGGGTTTCGCGATTGAATTCTGTTGGAATGTTCATATTGTCTATTGCTGTGTTGCGCTACGATCAGAAAATTGGGTTTTGGTGCGAGTGAATTGTAACAATCTGTAGAGGTGTTTCGTCATTGGCGTATTTGTGTCTTGCTAGATTTGGGGGTGGTGATTGTGAAGTCTGGTAGCTGAAACTTTGTTACATCAATCCGTGGTTAATTGAGCTCCTCTTCAATCGTATTACAGCTTGTCTTTTGGAAAAAATAACATTCCACATTTTTCTCAACTCAGGCCATTAGCATTTTGACTGGGTCCTTTTATGGCATCCAAAGTCCAAGTCGTTAATCAAGTCGGGATCTGCACTATGTTTGCGATGAGTTGTCGTGTGTCTACTGTATGACCGCCACTCACGCTCTCTTTCTAATGGTATCGGATGGTGGTCATGCAGGTATCGATGAAGTTGGTGTGAATCAATTGAGCATCAATTGGCAAGTAATATAGATTATTACCCACACCGTGTTTCAAAATCCTTTTCCTAGCCACGTAGCGATAGCTGACATATGATACAAGTGACAACCGACTGCTTCGCGTGATTGTTTCGTAGGTCTTAGTTCAGTTCGCAAAGACTACTAGAATTTCATATATTAAGGTTCGGTGAACAAAATTTGCCTAGCGGAGCATGAGTTGGAAATTATAAGTTTTTTCAGGGAAAATGTCGCAAGTTTTAGAGTCTCTGGCATCATTGAGGTTGAGATCTCCCCATGAGATAGAGACGTCTCTTATTGACAAGCCTCGACATCCTTTGATTGGGCTTTTTGAGAATTTACGGTGAGGAAATACACTGGATCAACAATCTTGATGCAAAGCCGTCTAGTAGTTTCATGTGCAGTTGGATATGAAGAGGCGATTCGACTTTTGTATGACCAATTAGGTTCGACATATTATTTTGTAAGGGGTTTCATGGTTGTGATGCTTGTACTGCCTAATGCTACTATTTCTGCTGCTCTCATCCTGTTCCGCTTTGTCAATGCAGCAATGTCTTCAAGGCGGACGAGCTTGGTGTGGAGATTGCAACCATTGCACTTCCAGCGTTTTTGGCTCTGGCATCGGACCCCCTTGCCTCGTTGGTGGACACAGCATTCATTGGACACATAGGTATGGTGACGATGAGGTTTCTATCATGTGTCTCAAAAGTCTCAATTTCCTTTTGTTATATCCTGAGCGATTGAAGCAAATTATTGTAATTGTTGATAAGGGAATTTTGACTGAATTTATTTTGTTTGAATTCCAGGTCCGGTGGAGCTTGCAGCTGTTGGTGTTTCCATTTCTGTATTTAACCTTGTGTCGAAGATGTTCAACCTGCCTCTTTTGAATATTACAACATCATTTGTTGCTGAGGATGCTTCTGAAAAGGAAATCGTTACGGACTTGCCATTGGAGTCTGTTCCACCTGATGCGACAGGGTTGTTTTCAACGGAAGGTGGGTCTAGCGGCACTTAAACAGCTCATTTTCGTGCCATGATTTGTGTGTTATGGTAGTAGAGATACTTTTGTGGTGAAATCGATTGAGTTTTAGTTACATGCTCAATCCTGATGCCTTCGTCGGTTCTGCAGTGTGGAACGACAGCAGCGAACAAGTCGAAATTCTAAAATTGGATATGCCTAAGAGGAAGCCTTGCCTCCCTTCAGTTTCTTCAGCTCTTGTTCTTGGAGCATTTTTAGGACTGGGAGAAGCTTTAATTCTTGCAATTCTAGCAGGGCCAATTTTGACAGTGATGGGTATTGACTCGGTAAGCCTGTCATTTTATATACTCCCTTTCTATATATAAACGTTTTTTTTATTTCACGTTTATATAGTTTCCTTCCACATTTGACTTGGTATTTGCATACGCTTACCGGGGTATCATGGTGCACTACCTGGTACAGTGAAACAAAATTTGATGTATGTGTTACTTTGGTGTAACGGTGGATGACCATGTGGTTACAATTTTCCTTTCTTGGATTTACACCTATATGATTTCAGCTTTTATCAAGTGATCGAAAGATCATAGACATTCCGGACATGGACTCAAATGTTTATTGAAAATGTGGTTTACATGGGAAATGCAGTTGTCACCAATGCGACTAGCATCTATTCAATACTTAAGGGTTAGAGCTATTGGTGCTCCAGCCATGGTGCTTGCACTGGCTATTCAGGGTGCTTTCCGGGGATTTAAAGATACCAAAACTCCACTTTATGCGACGAGTAAGTGAACGTGCTTTTGCTATTTGTCAAAATCATCTTAGAATGTTGAGAACTCCTAATCGTTTAGGGTTCACACGTCTGTCCATTTACTTACGCTTTTTATTTTGTTGCACTCTTTGCAGTGGCAGGAAACGCCGTCAACATTGTTCTAGATCCTATTCTTATATTTACATTGAAGCTAGGCGTGAATGGGGCTGCCATTGCAACGGTTATCTCACAGTACGTGGTGACATTCCCTTTTTAAGGAAATTTTATATTCGTTTTAGCTTCAGTGTTAAACTCTGAATGATGCTTCTGAAATTTCTTGTGGCAGGTATGTGATTTTAGCAATGTTATTTTGGGTCTTAGCTCGTAAGGTTACCTTGCTACCTCCTCGTATGGAAGATTTACGGCTGGGAAGATTTTTGAAATCTGGTACGACAGACTGTTTCCTGCCCCCCATTCATTACCTTTCTGTCTCAACGGCGTAGCATAATCGTGAAACCTTCATATTCTCATTTTCTCTCATTTTCTCATCTCGCTGCAGGTGGATATCTGCTGGCGAGGACTATGGCTATTCTTTTAGTGATGACATTGGCAACATCTATGGCAGCAAGGCAAGGTGCCATTCAAATGGCTGGCCATCAAATCTGCCTGCAGATATGGCTTGCAGCATCTTTGCTATCTGATTCAATTGCATTAGCGGGGCAGGTATGTGAGATACTAGTTCTTTCATACCCTCTCTGTCGCTGTATATCGAATATGAGGGGGAGGGAGGATGCTTGGTTAGGAACTTACCAATTACACAATCACCTCCAAATGCAGTCTCCTCCATTGGAAGTGTTGAAAACGCCACATTCTTTCTGACCCTTATGTCTTAATCTTTCGCCCTTGTGTCCAGGCAATAATTGCTACTGCCTTTGCCAGCTTCGATTACAAGCGTGTGAAGGAGGCGTCTTTTCGAATCTTGCAGGCAACTTTCTAAGTCCCTCACTTTCTCTGGGAACTCCTTGAGTTGTCGATTTCTGTCAAAAGTTACTTTCCATTTGATCTTTCTTTATTGTTTGCTAAAGGGCTTTATTGTTATTGATGTTTTAAAATTTGTAAATTTTTAGTGTTAATCTTCTTTAAAACAATTTGGAAATCTCATGAAAGTCAGAGATGAGTTCATCATTCTAACGTGAGTGGAAGCTGGTTACTGAGGCAATCATTTTAACGTGCTCTGCAGATTGGATTTTTGTTTGGAGCTTTCGTAGCTGTGCTATTAGGGGCAACCATGCCTACGTTCTCCAAATTGTTCACTATAGATGTTGATGTTTTGAATATCATAAAGGACCTTATTGTGGTATGTCAAATTTCAGGCTTTTCTCCTCGCCTTTTATCCTAGATCATGTATATAATGAAGTTTGTCCATCTTCGAGTTATATCTTCTCGAATTGTATGTTTGTGCTACTGTGCAGTGCTTGGTATACGATTTATAATTATCGTTTATTGTTCTGTACGGTCATGAATTCAGATTGGTTAAAATTACGTCTGTTATGATAATGCGCATTTCAAATGTGATCTTCACTTAAAAGTACGTTGAGATATTGATGGAATTTTACTTGTGCAGTTTGTGTCTTTGACTCAACCAATCAACTCATTAGCATTCGTCTTCGATGGTCTTCACTATGGAGCCTCAGACTTCGCTTATGCAGCTCTCTCAATGGTGAGTACTCATTCCCCTGACATGAAGGCAAGTGAGGATGTAGTATGTTCTTTGAGGACTTTCTAAAACGAAGAGGAAAAATTACTGATCATTTCTTGTATTTGTGCCATTCCTTGCAGATCATGGTTGCAATACCCTCAGCTGCATTTCTCATTATATTTCCCCCTCTTTGGGGCATATTGGCCGTATGGGCGGGATTAACTCTTATCATGAGTTTACGATTGGGCGTTGGGTTGTGGAGGTATAAGTTCTCTCCCTCTCGCTCCACCCTCCTTCCTTCTAATCTTTTTTTCATTTATGTGGATAACTGTTTGTGTATTTCCTATGCTCAATAAATGCTGTAGACTTTTGGTTACTATGTGTGAGGTTAATATGAAATTGCTCTTGCTTAAACCGAACAATTGTTAAGCTGTATTCATGCCATCCACTCCTTCGAATTTATACGAAAATCAAGTGTACTAATTAATCTGCATCCAACTGGTGAGCGCAGGATTGGAACTGCTACTGGGCCATGGAAATTCTTGAAGGATCGTGATATTGAGAAGCATTTATTTCGCCAGTTATCAGTACATGAGGAGGGCATAACAGGAACCTCATGAGCAATATGATTTTTGTAGTTCTCAGGTTGATTCTTTTGTATATTATCGTCCATTTTTCCAAAAAAGAAAGCTCCAAGCTTTTTCGATTTATTTTTTTTCATCTTTCTAACCAATCTCAAGGGGGATACAGTAGGCCAACAGATTCTCATTGAGCGGTTTATTTGTCACGGTCTGATAGCAGAAGTCGGTTGTAAGTAACACAGCAAGGGTTTTTACCAGGTTTTCGCTGTTTTCCAAAAACACTGACTGGATGCACTTCATCAAGGCATGCCAGAAGTTGAAACAGTGCGTAGACTTTGGGTGAAAACTTGCTAATTTTGAAGGCTTTTGCTGTTGCTAGTGTTAAATATCAATATAGCATGTCATTATGCTTTACAAATCACAATACTTTTTCAAAAGCAAGTGTTTCGTGAGTCATGAGCGCACATGAGAAGACAATCGGATGTTCACACTGATAGCGCTTTTCGTACGCATCCGTTTATCTTAAATTGTTGCTTAGTCAACATATTATTGCCAACACATGCCAAGCTCACGTTATGATCAAAATTATCCACCCAACTTATTCGTTTTATTTCAGGCATGGTTGCTGGTCTTTGATGATTGAGTACGAATTAGTGATTCATCCCCAGACAGTTTATTTCAATTTTGGTTTAAATATGTCCATTTTTGGTAGGGAAATTAGGCGGTGAAATGGAAGAACATGATGTGGGATTGGATATGTAAGACAAAGTGGGTTCAAAGACACTCAATAGTTATGTAAGATTAGCGACGAGACAGCAAATGTTTATCCTCCGGAAATTTAGAACTAATTTCTTGTGACCAATAATGTAACCATCACAAACCCCACTAGATTATTAAATTTCTCAAATAACATTTTCTTTCCAAACCTAACCTCCGCACGCTGTAGATTCAAGACTGGAAACCCTAAGAAGAATATTCAGTTTTCCCAAGTCACCTTTCAACCACCTCCTGTGCAGGTTGCATGAGAATCATGCATTTCCTTCAAGAAATTTATATTTAATCTCACATTCACTAACCACTCTGAAATTGCTGTAACTGAGCGTTGGACTTGATCGGCTGACCTAATGGTTAAATGCAGAATCGAATTGAAGTTTTATGTCAATCACACTACACAAGTTATGTGATATGTCAGCAATCTCTAACATGTACTGGGAAATCGCCCAACAATGGAAGAACATTAGTTGATCATCTCATTTGTGCAGCGATGTTGATGAGATTTGTCATCCCTTCACGTTTGAAATCCTTCGCAACTCAAACTCAAGGATTCAGAAACAACACACACTCACACACACATAAAGAATTCCAGTCCTGGTTGTTGTCCTCCCCATCCATCGTAATACTTTCCAACTCTGTACAGAATACAGAAAACACAACCTCAAACCAAAGAAAATACATCTTTTTCCACTTTTGTTTGTAAACGCACACCCTGATTAATGTTGAAATTTCTTTTTGTTGGCAGTCTCACTACCACCATGACCACTGCAATAACATTAAATACTTGTTTTTAATTCTACTTTTAAAAAATAAAGAACTTGAAAGTTTGTGGAGCATTGGAGCATGGAGGATTCCAATGCCAAAACAGCTTGGTTATCCATCACGATTGGAGTGATACTGGGGGCAGGCATAGCAACTGCATCGGCATACTTGCTGCACATGCGGATTTTGGAGCAGGTGAAGACACGGCTGGGATTAGAGGAATTGAGCCGCAGGAGGCGCACGAGAAGAGCCAAACGAATTGCTCAGCTCTGCAAGCGTCAAGATCAACAACAACAACAACAAGACGAAGAGGAGGAGGAGGCAGAGGAGGAGCACCACCGCCTGCAGCACGCTGTTGCTGCTGCAGGCACGCAGTCCCAGGCAGATTTGGTGACAGCTGCAGCCGATAATTCTCGAGATTCCCCTCGCTCCTCCACCAACATTAGCAATGTGACTTCATCCAATGCTGTGAACGCCATGCCCATATTGCTTCCACGAGTCCAAATCCATTGCCATGGTATTGCTTATTATGCTCCACGAGTAGCCCTCATCCTACTAAATCCTCAATGTTTGCAAATGCTCTGTCGCAACTACTTCCTACTGTTTTTGTTGTATCTGCCTGTATATTTATTTATATACATAACATCTATAAGTGTATTTAAAAAAAAAAATCGTTAAAAAGAAAGCAACAAAAGTTACCTCTACAACAGAACGCACTCAAAGTCAGGACATGAGAATACAAAAACTGCAGTCATTTAGATACTGCCATTATAGATATTATAAAGTATTGGTGTCATGGTACCATTGAAAATCCTTCACAATTTCAGTAATGCATAGGCAAAACTGTAACCCCAGTAGAAGTGATTGACATGTAGGGTTTCGGTTTCTCAAGTACCATGTGTTTTCTATTGCAATTGAGACCATTGTGGAGTTTAAAGGAACCCATCATTTTTGGCAAATTTTCATGCGACGGTATTTTGTTGTGGGGGAGCAGGCAACGATACGCAGCCCAGCAGTTCGTCAGCGACACCGTGGAAATGCCACGTTCCTACCATCCCGCACAGTGTTCCCATCATTCGCCCGACGACCCCCAAGTCTCCGGTGTTTGCAGACATGGAAGGATCCGACGAGGAAGACCACGTCCTGGAAAACGAGGACGTTCAAAACTACATCATGGATGAGGTCATGGGTTTGGCTGGAGTCGACAGCGAAGCAGCAGCAGCCCATGGCTCAGAGCACGCTGATGAGCTCGTTAGCGACGGAATGGTAAGGTTGGCATGTGGGAATAACTTGCTTACCTCTGAGCCCACGCTGTTGCGGCAAAGGCTCAAGGTACTCCTGTACCCTTCAAACTCCCTTGCACTTGAATGCATCAAAGATACTAAAAGCATTGCCGCATTTTCGCATTGCCTTCAAAGAGGAGGCTATCATCATCATCATACAACCTCTCTTTGCCTCGCTGTGTGGGACAGGAAGATGAGCCGACGACATGGGCGTGGTCACCAACACTCGACGCGAACGTCGAGGCTCGACCTACCAGCGACAAATCCTTGGCGTGCAAGTTGAGGTCGCACACCATCCCGGGAGACATCCACAGCATGCACAAGCCGGACCCAATTGCAGCGGACATCCTGCGCAAAGAGCCAGAGCAAGAGCAATTCATCCGGCTCATTGTCTCCCCTACAGGTACTCCTGCCTGCCTCAAATCTACCCCCAAAAAACACAAACATCCATGACAAACACTCACTCACCCAACACAGCGATGCGTTGATCACACCATCACGAATGGGTAGATTACCTTCTCTTCTTTTTTTTGTTTTTTTTGTTTTTTTGTTTTTTTGTTTTGTCTGCATGTGTTTGTCGATGCAAAGTGTGAACCCAGCACTGTATTGGAAGCAGAAGTGCCGTCCATGGAAGAAGAGGAGGTGTGCAATCTGATGCAAGAATGTTTGGCAATGCGAGCCAAGTACTTGTTCCACGAGATTTCACATCCATGGCAAAGCGAGAGCCATCAGGAAGATGATTCGACCCACGCAGCAACATCGTCCTCTTCATCAGATCCTGATCCTGATCCGTTCCGTTACGCTCCTGAAGCCGCCTCATCAGTATGTGTGTACTGTTACCTTATGTTACCGCCCCCGTTGCGATCACTCCACTCCACTCCACACCCTCCCTCGTTGCAATCTCTCTCGCTTAATTGCTTATTTTTCTTGCTTGTTTGTTTTTTTCTTGCATGTTCTGATTTCTAATTTGATTGCTTTTCTCCCGCAATTGGATTATATGTTCAAGCCTCGCACAATTATGCATACCCTTACCGCTGGCTCTCATTTTGGCAGCACGCTTTTAAAATGGTGGACGGCGTCATGCGTATTTACTCCCACGACAAAGGTTCGATTTCCCGTGAGAATATTCTGACTAGATTCTACTGTAAAAAACCTTTGCAGTTGTGGATGCCTGTCATGGTTGTATGGTTATATAAATCTTTCACAGATTGATATACAGAATTCTGATTTCTGTTGAGATTGAAAGTTCATTGTGAATCTTTTTCTTTTTCGTTTTTCTTGCTTTCTTTTCGACTTCTTTGAGTGTGTTTGGGATGAGGAATGGTGGAGATGCTTTGATTTGGAGTTATTCTTGTGTAGTTGGGTCAGTGTTGGAACCTGCATAATAAACTGTGCATACTTGTCATGAATCATTCATTGAAGAGGTGTGTAAGAATACATTTTAGAAATGGGTACAATATTTGAGTTATCATTGTACCATGGCAAAGAGGTGTGTTCTCCATCCCTTCTAGCAAGTAGATTATCTATCCTAATTTAAAACTCAGAAAAATTCAAAAAGTAACAAAAAATAAAAAATAATAAAAAAATAAAATTGAATCATCAAACTAGGACAAAATGAGATGTGAGTGAAAACTAGTGATGAAAATTTTAAAAATCAATAAAGGAATTTCAAGACAACCTACAGATTACAGAGTCAGTAACTCGTGTTTGCTTCCAAATTTCTAACCCCTTTATTCAACTACCTAGATTTTGCAAAAAAACAAAAAAAACAAAAAACAAAATCTGAACATGGTGGTCAAGCCTTTTTTCTCATGACATGATCTCATTTGAAAAGTAGAACAATAACATTATTAATCATAATAGTGATATAAAAAGAGGGTTTGATACATGAAGTAGGGTGGATGGTGCAGACACAACAGAGTTGTTCCCTGTGCATGATGCAACGATGTTCTTCACTGACATGCATCGCATTCTACGAATCATAGCCCTTGGGAATGTTCGAACATTGTGCCACCGTCGCTTGAAACTATTGGAGCAGGTAAGGAGTAATAGTTGTGGTGGGTGTACTTGGAGACAAGTTGAATGCAAATGGTAGTGTCTAATAATATTATCAAGAGTACTTTCTTTTAAGGTACAAAACCAGAAAAATAAGCAAGTGATGAATGCAGAAGAGGAGGATATTGATAGTGTGGGATTTAGGGTTGTAAAATGGGTTGTTGTTGTTGTTGTTATGCAGAAGTTCAGCCTTCACCTGATGTTGAATGCGGACCGTGAGTTTCTGGCACAAAAGAGTGCCCCACACCGCGACTTCTACAACGTG